TGTTTCGATGAAACATTTTTTTTGTTACCGGGTGGTTATAAAATAGTTTTTATACCTGAAAGAGTAAAAGGGTTGTAGATGGTAAAATTGACTAGGGGAGGTGATAGACATGGTGGTCAATAGGTTTTTAGTGAATAAAAATCAAAAATCAATACAAATGTAATTAAGTATATGGTATCGTGAATAACTATGGCATCTATAGCTATTTTAAAATAATATTATTATAAAAATTTACGGGCATACTTTGCATATGAGTGCATCCACTGTTATAGGTGGGAAGTTGGGAAGGTAGAATACAGACGGAAATTCAATCTATATCGATAAGCAATGACAAACCATTGCTAACGAAAAAGCAATTCTGGGCGGAGTTCAGTTGATAGTGTTGCTTTGACAATACAATTCATGGTATATGTCATATTATGCTAAAATGATAACAACAATTGCGTTTCCATGACAACAATGATTGTTAAAAAGTTTAAATAATAAAAACCTAATACAGTGGTCGCCGCTTTTAGTGATCAAAAATGCTAGGAACGGAACAAACAGTAGTTATCAGTGTATCTTTCGCCGCTTACTGTATTCAGATTTTCGGTTATACTAATCAGAAATAATCATATCAAAAATAGAAATTATACAACAATACACGAAAGGAAGAAAAACCTGATGATTATTAATTTACGAACCTAATCCAATCTAATGTAAGTGTAACCCACCTATAAAGCCCCCTCATAAACTGTCAGTCTTGACTGTCAATTACGTTGATTGTCATTCAAGGCTGATCGTATATGTGTATGACTGATAATGACTGACAGATTGACAAACAAATTGTATGAATGATGCAATTCAAACCAGTGGCGCAATTTGGGGTAAGTTGGCAAAGTAAAATTTTGGGACCCCGATAAATCTATACAAAAAAAAATAGATGAACATCACCAACTTTTTTGAAAGAACCTATAAAACTTATGTATGTATGTATGTATGTATGTATGTATATATGTAAAATTATTTATTTTTCCGATATTTTTTACCTGTTTTTCGAGTCGCCGTTTATAACAATTTCCGGTTATATTGTAGTGTTCAAAATACTCTCGGATGATTGTGATCACTAGCGGCGACCACTATAATAAAAAAAAATTAAGAAAAACGGTTGCCAATGACAACCTTATTTTTAATCTTTTAGTCTTTTTAACCTAAATACCCAGGTTTTCCTCATTAGCTCGAGTATTAATAATAATTTCAAAAAATGACCTTTCTAAACTACCACATAGAGAACATTTTCTTTCAGAAAAGGTGTTTTTTTTTTTTTTCTGAATGACAAATAGAGTATGAAAGTATAATATGTATTTATAAAATATATCAATATACCTAGTTCAGTTAAGCGACAAATTATGCACATTATGCAAGGGTGCATATATAAGAAAAAAACAAGTTTGAAAGCCGACGACGACGTAAAGATAAAAAAAATACATATATATTTATAATTTCTTTGGCGGTCGTATTGGGACGTACAATAATATTATATTAACGCGTAGTGGCGTTCGGTTACCATAACGCAAAGTAAAGAGCCAATAAACAAATCTGCAGTTTATAGAATCTCACAGCTCAGTTAATTTATGTTTTTTTACAGTCTGTACTACAATTCGTTTCCACAGTCACCGTTCACTAAAAGTTAATACGTATTCACCGCATATATTCTTTTAAACTGTTTAAATTCGTAAAACTGAATAAGTATATAGTAATTAGATACTTAGTTTATTTCCATAATTAATTTATACCGTGCGAAAAAAATGATCGAGTGGTTAAACAAATACATATATCTAATTTAATTATTTGCTTCATATAGAAACCTAGAAATATAACGTGCTTCAAAACTGTATTTTTCCCACGAAATATATTTGTATATTTGAAATCTATTTTTAAAGACAACAACACGAATTTTTTATAATACATTACAGGAGAAAATATTTGTATTCAAATTTTTGCAAATCTTTCTGAATATGTTATTTTTGTATATTTTTAACTTTGACAATAATAGTCTCTTTTTTCTACTGGCATGTCTACTATCTAAGAGTTTTTGCTACAATTACTATACGTTACCACTTTCTAAATCGTCTTCCACCACATCAATCAGTGTTTTCCTGGATCTATAGAAAAAGCCTTTATATTCGCACGCAGAATTCAATTTGTCCGGAAACAATTTTCAAAATGAACAACATTTTCTACAACTGATAGTGAAAATTTGCAAACTTTTATTTTTAGGTTGATAATTAGGTAGTATAATTATGCAGTAAAAAAAATAAATCAAAGTTAGTATTTTAATGAAAAATGTTATTTTATGTTTATAATCTTATAATATTTTTAAGATCAGTTAGTAATCTTATTGCTTGCAGATAACTCTTTTGTTAGAACGATGAAAATATTTTAACAATAACTGATTTTCATAATTATTATTTTTAACTTTTTTACACTAAAAATGGTAAACAAGTTTCGCTCACCAGTTATTTATGAGTAATTGAATATTTATTGTAATAAAAAAAAAAATGTCGATTTGTCTGTGATTTGAAAATTTATATGTAGAAGCTGTTGAACTTGTAATTGTGCACCTTTAAACCGGATTCCTGAAGTTTAATCTCTAAAGTAGGGGTGGATAGACTTACTATGAGGTACCGGGATTTTCCTGGATTTAAACACAATGGGCCGTGGTAATAGCATAACAACCGTGATATGGACCGAAAATTTATCCTGGAATGACCTTAATTTGTCTATTCATCCCTGATCTAAAAGGTGTAGTCGACACAGAGTTTTTCGTATTTTTGGAACAAAAATCGAATTATTTTATGTTGATTTATGGGCTACCTTGGTGATGCGAATGAAATAAAACAAACAGTTATAAATAAATAATAATCTTAAGGAGACTCATTGGTATATAGAAAGACTGCGTGATAAGAACAAGCATTTTCATTTTTTTTTTTATTTTATTATTAATACTGTAACATCGGTGGATCCAAAAGTGGTCCAGGGCCTTCCTAGGCTATAGACTAGGCAAACGTTTTTCCTTCCACGAATAATTAATTGATTAACGCATATTGTTTATGTAATACAAACTGTTCAAGAAAGAAAAGCGAAGCGGCACGATGTATTGGTGTATTAGTTGTATTATGATGTATTTTTATTTTTTTTTCTACCAGAAAACTTACTCAAATCAAAAATTTAATTGGTAATGTTTTATTGGTGCTCTTAGATATAAATTAACATTATGTACTCTACCTTCTCAATTTCAAACCTATGACAGAGGTTGCACTATTCTTAGCATCACTTTTCTTAGTGGTAAATTTTTTTTAGGAGCCCCCCCCCCCCAAATTAAACTATGGAACTATAGTTTACTGTGCATGAGCAAAGCGGTTTGGGAGATAATACACAATTATATCTGATACACATTATAAACACATAATGTAAATAATACATATTTATGAATGGAAATCGTTAGTGACATAGATAAAATAAAATTAGAGACACAAGAAGACAGCTGAGAGAAAACATGTTACAATTAATTTCTTTTATTTATTTTGGTTTTTGAACGAATATTTTAGAAACTTAGATTTTATATGGTCCAAAAAAAGGAGGAATTAAATTGGTACAGGTAACGCCGGGCGGGTCAGCTAATTATATAATATTAAACTCGTATTTTGTTATTCGTATAATGTAACTTTACAACAAACACCCAAAGGAGTATATTACGAATTAAAATTTTAGCCATAAGGTGTATCGAGTTACTGTTTTTTTTTTTATTTATGTATATGAAACAATACCGACTGTTTATAAAGAACGGTGATCTATATTACTTATGTAAGACGAAAGATAATTGGTCAGATAATATTTTAATAACGCTGACGTCACGATACCTATGATATAAATATAGTGACCGCCTTTACGCCTGCGGTGATAACAATAAATTCGAGCGGTATAAGACAAACGGGATACGAGCCCGAGTGACGAATATTCCATGCGCAGAAAAACCCGGAAAACGATGATCATTCGGATCAACCTATAGGAAAGTTAACCGAAATTACGTGAGCGATTATAATGCATATAGCTCATCATCATAATCATGCTGCATAGTTGATGATGATTATTACAAAATAAATTGCTTACCGTAATAATGCGCCATAGAAGTAACTAGATTTTTTTTTTTTGTTAGATCTTTGGCACAACAATTTTTAGAGTTTACTAAACGAGTATTTTTATAGTAGGTAACTATGAAAATGTTAGATCAAAATATAAACGATATACTGCTGTTTATATGACAGCTAAATTATATTTTGGTTATTTAGCCATCTTATTTAACGTCATACCGGAACTACGTTGATTTAAGCATTCAATCCGGATTGATAGGACTGACATAATTTATCAATCTCCAATTGTATTTATTTTTACGACGCTGTAAAAACTGCACAAGCACGAAAATACTGACAAATGTATTTTTAGGTTTCAGGTGGAAAAGTTTAAAATTGGCGGTGTATTGGTATGGGTGTGACATTTTTTGAAGTATGCCAAGAAAATATCACCGGTACATTTTCACCACTAAAATATCGTTTAAAAATATTTTGTGAACCATTATTGTGAGATATAATAATGGGAAAAAAAATCCTAAAAGTGAAAATATACGTGTTTTAATATTATATTGTACAAAACAAATTTGAACGTATTAAAAAAATGTTAAACATTTAAATCTGTTCCGCCACATTTTAATCATTTCTTTATAATTCACGGAAAATTAAATGACGGATTTATATTTTCATTGATTTACAACTTAATGACTTATAGAACCCCGAACAGGCATACGATATTTTGTTTAATTTTCTTGCAGATAAACTAGGAGAATTCGAACTGACTGTATCAAAACAGATTTCGAAATGGCTTCTAGAAAATCATACTCCAAGAGTTTTCCATCTACTAAACAACGGAGGTGCTGCTTTCATCTAATGAAAACTATTTGGAAAAAAATACAAACAATTCCAGTGATTTTAAAGATTATCATCAAGGTATTGCTTTTAATTTTCTCAAATTTTAGTTTATAATTCAATTTTAATACTATAAAAACTTTTACATTCTTTTTTTTTTTTTACTATAATTATTTTAATCTATATATTATACAATATTATATTATAATTATATTGCTGGTAAATTTTATACGGATGATATTTTTGTCAAGCAAAATTTTACCGGCGACTTTCCGTCGGTACTTTAATAATAACTAATAATTTATTAAATACAATACTGTAGTTTGAAGATAATTAGACAACATTTTTAAACGACTCGTATTTAAACAATTAACAAAAAAAATTATTCATAAGTGAGAACTAAATAATTATTTTTATAAATTAACGCTAAATAACCATTATTCATGTTTTCATTTTGCATTATTTTATAACAATTACAAAATAAAACGTATATTATATAAAAAAAATTGGAAATAAAGGACAACAATAAAGAATATTTTACTATCTGACGATACAGAATCCTAAACCTATTAAAATGAGAAGGTAAATGATAGTACGAAACCGCTGTTATAAAACAATATTCAATAGCCCAAACGGTTCCTTGAAATCGATTCGTACGGTTTACATTTAAAAAAAAAAAAATACTTCCTACCCCTTGGTATAAATCTTGATAATAAACTTACTAATACAATTTTGATAAAATTCCAATTTCAAATCGAGTGAGTCTATGCGAAGTTCTCTTTTATCAAACTCGTCATAATACGCCTCTCTAACTACCCGATTCAATCCTTATTGGGCATACTTTTTAGTTGGGTTGTTTGGAATAGAGAATTTATATGGTAATTTAGTTTATATGTGTGCAACAGCAATTTATTGCAAACGAAAAACGATTCTGATTGGAATAGTGTTATTTCGTATTATTTATTTTGTTACAATAGTAACTCGAAAATAAACAAAAATCCAAGATAATTTAATAAAATACCGCCACGCCGTCCGAAAATCGTTTAGGGTACTGCGTAAACAAACTGGAACATTTTTAATAGGTATTGAACAAAATTCATAAAAAGCAATTTTTTTGGAAATTCCGAAATATTCTCGAATTGAATTACCACCAGACGTTTATGTATACGGCATGATAGATTCGGACAGTGTTTACTTTTTACTAACTGTAACAGTGTTTTTCGAGAATAAAACGCACATCTTTGAAGAACTACAATAGCTTCTTCGGTTATACTCGGAATGTAAAACTTGCAAAAGGAACCGATTTCCGAATGACGGCTATAACTGTTAATTATAATATTTATCGTTCTGCAGTTGTAGTGGTTAGTTTACATAATACAATATTATCCTGCATATCCGTATCGCGTATGTACTTTTCCCCGTTCATATTGACCGCATGTTATAAATTATAATATTATATTTAATATTAATGTTCCCATTATTTTTTGCACTTGTTTTCTCGGTCATTTTTTTTTTCGTTACAAGTTGTTGAGGTACCTATTTATATACATATTTTTCCCCAGGCGGTATTCAATATATATATTATAATTTATTTTAAATACTTCCGCGTCTATAATATATTACTTCACGAGTAATGACATTTTTTAAAAAGACAATTTTTTTTCGAAGTATTCTGCAATCGGTTTTTATGGGTTTCGTATACTTTTTATGTGAAAAGGTGAACGAGTTAATATGAAAACTATAATAAACTCCACGAAATTAATAGTTTTATAATAAAATTGTAATTTAACTCGTCAAGTTAAAATTCGGAAAAAAATAACTTTAATCAGCTACATATATATATATATACAGGATGATGCGTGCTCACTCCATTTTTTTTGGTTAAATTTTGCATATAATATGTTGTATGTATTCAAATTTTGATTTTTAGAATTTTTAAGTGTAATTAAATCCGATATTTTTGGATACTTCAAGTAAAGTATTATTTTAAATAAAAGTAGGTGTAAACATTTTTAAATTCCGTCAACTCATTGACGAGATATTTCACTTTTAAGTTTATGTAGTAATACTCCATCGAAAATATCGACTTTAACTACACATACAAATTTAAAAAATCAAAATTGAAAATATAAAAAATGTAACTAAAAAAAATGGGTTAAGAACGCTTAGAAAATTACCCTGTATATTAGGGCAATCCTTATTTTCATATTAAGTTCCTAAGTAAAAAAACTAGTTTAAAATAACTCAAAAAATCTTGTAATTCTTCAAATATTTATTTTAATGCTACTACCCTTCTTCAAAAAAAAACTTAATTTTAATGGAGTTACAAAAATATAAATTTAAAAATAAAAAAAATAAAAAACATTTACAACTCCGTCAAAATTAGTTTTTTTCCCTCGAAGAAGCATAGTAAATGTTAGTCAATTTTTACCAGTATAAGATTTTTTCAGGTACACTGAGTATAGGGACAAATAATTAGTCTTAAACATTGTAAATACCGGTGTATTTTTAATGGAAAAATTTAACTCTCTTAGAACGTCATCTAGAGTCAAAATAAAAATCTTAACAAAATTACAGAATTTTGTTTTAATTATTTTAAACTAGTTTTTTCACTTAGGAATATTTAATTCCAAAAAAAAAAACTTTAAAAATAAAACACCCAAATATACATAATATCTATGTATATTATAATTATATACAATATAAAAAAAAAAAATAATAATAAATATTTTTACGATTTCTACTATACTGATATTACCATACGAGAAATTCGAATTTATACAATGAAAACTATTTTAACTAACTGTTTAGTTATAGTTCAGTTAGTTAATGACAATAATTATCTAACTAAAGTAACTGTTTAAACATACGATTTTAATGTTTTCGCTTTTTTTTTGTAAAATACTATAACACGCCTGCGACTATATAATTTAATGTCATATCCGGAATTTACTCACTCCAAAAAACATGACCACTAACGACGACAAAGTACCAAAACAAATATTATTATTTAATGTCATAGTAAACACTATACAATCTATTACACGATTTTTGACCAAACAATATTTTAAAAAAAACCGCTTCAGACCACTCTCGCACGCTAATCTAAAATATGTTTTCTAGGAAAACAACACTACGTAAAACCATTAATCAAAATATTTTTTTCATATTAACAATTAAAATAAATAATAATGTAAACATTATTTTTAATTTTTTCTACTTCGTTGTTTACATATGGGTATGTCAACGTTCAAATAAGTCAATAAGATTAATCGTAACTATGTGATGAAATTAAATTTTGTTTCATTATTATTATATTATTAAACTTACCTGTTAATTTATTACCTTGAAAAAAAAACGAATGCTGGTTTAACTAATTTCAAATGTTTTTCCTACAATTACCTGTCAAAGAACTCAGAACTAGAAATAAAATAAAATGCAAAATTTCCATAATTCAAGTGTAAGCCCCCTTGTGTAAAGTGAAATCTATTTTCGATATTTCAGATCTTTATGAAATATTATAGAATTATAATCTAACAAAATAGTCTACTATAAATGTATAGATTATTTTGTACAAAACCTAAGTATTGTCATTGATTATTATAAGTTTTTCTATATTGGTCATAATTATTTTTAAAAAAAGACTACATACATCGCACTTTGGTGTGGTCACTGTTATAGATGAGAAGTTGGGAAAGTAGGATATAGAAAGAAATTTAATGTATACCTGTAAGCAACGGTAAACTATTGCTAACGAAAAAAACGATTCTGAGCGGAATTCATTTGATAGTAATGCATAATAAGTATAAAATAAAGAAATATAATATAAAGATTAACAGATACCTAGTTAAATTAATGTATTGAAATCGAAATGTATTTTATTTTAATATAGCTCGGTCTATAGTATTACTTTTTTAACAATTTGTCTTTCCATGACAACAATGGTTGTTTAAAAACGATTTTAAAATAATACAAACTTAATATTGACAAAAGATAAATAAAAATGGTTGTCAATGACAGCTTTATTTTTAATCTTTCAATCTTTTATAACCTTATGAACCAATTTTTCCTTATTAATGAGAATTTAGAAAAATGACCTTTTTAAAGTACCATCCAGAGAACATTTCCTTTCAAAAAAAAGTGATATACTTGATAATCGGAGTAAGCTTTCAGGTAGAAAATGTGTTCACTTAAATAAAAATAATAATAATTGTAAAATCAATTCATTTTTCGCTCCACTCAGAATCTAAAAGTATACGAATATTCAAAAACTCATCTCACTAACTCATCGGCTACATAGAAAACGCTACAAAAAAAACTCATGTATCAATAAGTTTTTGATCGAAGTAAATCTTTAAATCAACACATCTGTCCATCATATTTTTTTTGGTTTCCTGTTATTCTCCGTTTATATTATGTTATAGTTACCTATTATTACTTTGTTATAGGCCTATTGGCGTTCAATACACGATCGATAGTTTGCGAAACTTCCGACGGCCACCTGCTGCTCAACTACCACCGAGCCGAAGGCCGAGTTTGAGAAAACGCGTTATTGCAATAATACCTCATAATAATATTTTTTTTTACTCGATTAATATTTACGCCGGCCAACGACAATACAGAAATGCAATATATTTTCGGGGTCGCAGAATGCCAGTATTATTATATTCTTATTCTCGATTGTTGTCGCTATAACAATATACAATTTAATCGAATCGCAACAGATTGCCATAATATACCTATACGTCCTATTAGGAACGGAACTCGTTTGTCATAGCGACCCCGCGAAAATAAGGTTAATCGCCACGATAATTCATGACTAATATTCAAAAATAAACGGTTAGCAATATTAACCTCTAAAGGTTAGTAATGATTTGCAGGGTACTCACCGTCGAGCGCATACTAGTTGCCTCCCGAGATCAAAAAGGTCGATAATTTTAATACGAATTACCTCCCGGCGTATCCTAAACTTTATCATAAACAAAAAGGGTCTACTATAAGCCACCTCGCAATAGGCAGGTAATGAATGTCTAAGTGGTTTATAAACGATTTAAAATGTTCAAATAATATTCATAAATACATAGATTTGTTTAAATATTTTATCATAAATTAATATTATGTTGGTTGTTTCTTATTATTTATTAATAACTCATCAGCCAGCATTGGATTTTAGATGTATACATTCAAAGTCGTAATTTATGACTTCGGTACATTAATAAGATTGTACGCCTAATATTAAACATTACATCTCTTATTGTAATGATTACTGCCGTTAGCTGAGCTTCAACATTCGTTGTACAATTATTTTTACAAATAATTGTTAAGTGATTTTAAATTTTCTAATAAGTTTTTAGAATGGATCAAATTGAAATGTGGAAAATGATCAGTGAAAAGAGCAAACGTGTTAAAATAATTAATAGTATTAAATTTAATTTTCAAAAAAAAGTTAGCATACAACAAAGAACCGTGGAATTGTATGAAAAAAAATATGTAAAGCTTTTTTAAAAGTAGATTGAAGTGATTAAGTTATATTGAACGAAAATAAGTTGAACCATAATAAACATTATCTGAATAAGTACTGTTCATGTTCATGCTTTTTTATTGACCAACAATATTGTTATTTTTAATAAAATTATAAATATTATATTAAATTTAGTTTAGTTTACGAACCACTGCTTTATTCAATATAGAAAGCAACTAGTGCGAACATCTTTGGGAAGCAACTCGTAAATAATTATGAACTTCCCAATCGTCGAAGAGGACTAATGTATATTAATATATTAGCCTTTTTATTTACGATAAGGATTGGAGGCAATTCGTATATACCGTCACCGTCGCGTTGTCACTGCGTTTTGAAATTACCGCTGTGTACTACCGTTGTTCTTGCAGACAAACTAGACTGCCGACTTTGGGGATGTTAAAGTTATAGATAGATCACAAACCCGTGGGGGCAATACCTCACATTCCATTTTAGATTATACTTATAACAACAATACATTTCATATGCATTTTTTATTTTTATAAAAATATATCATAACCTTTTTAACTTTGTTTTTTGTTCACTTATGCAATGTCTATGTAGGTTATCTGTATTTGTTCTGCTTGTTATATACAAGAAATACATAGATAAAATATTTAGTTAACACTATTAACTAAAAAAACCCCTAGCACCTCCCAGTTGTACCTATGCAAACTATTATTGCGATGGTGTTTTATATATTATATATTGTAATTATTATGAAAGAATTACTTTGTGTTAATCGTTTTTATAGTGTTAAAATAATATAGTATCAGATGTGCATATTCCTTGCACAAATGAGCTTGAGAAACTTACCAGAATGTGACTGCGAAGTAGAGAAGCCGACTATCTACCTCATAACTTCTGCATGCCCTATCCACGGCTATCAAGAAACCAGAATTGATGGTCCCACAACCCCCCCCGCATTTATTAAATGGCTGGAGGAATCTGTTACCTTATTACTATTACTCACTATTATTCATACTACTAAGTATTCTATTTTGTTTTGTTTTATTTTTATTTGTATTCATCTGTTATACACTAATTTAATTTACTGTGTGTTATCATATTTTAATTAGTCTACTGCGTGTAAAAAAACCATACGCTAAAAAAATAGTGTTAGAAAATTGCGTTTACTCATAATAAGTTAGAGCCGTTAAAGAAGGTACTCCAGAGTCCTACTCATGGCCCTTCTCCGCAGCAAAAACTGTACTACTTTACGTCGTTTGATATACTAAAATATATTATGATAGCATTTAATAGCTGGGGAAAATAAAAATGCATTATGATTTGTGACAAAATATCATGAAGGGAATTTTTTTTTTTTTTTTTGATATCATTTGATTAATTTTCCTTTTGGAACTTTTTGGTCCCTAATCAATGATGCTGGTAACATTACATAATTTATGACCCAATAATACCATGTCTAATATTTTATTGTGTTGTGAACGATCGAGATTTCCTTGATCACGTGTCACTGCCACCGTTTCTGTGGACGATGTCTCAAGAAAAACCGCCTATCTAAAAGGAAACAAATGTATACATTTAATATACAAGTATATTTATAGATCCAAAATAATAGCCGATGGCGCGTCTACGTAATATTCATTATTATAATATATACCGTCGAACGTCAAGGACGGTGACTTCCGACCCGTAAGATTTGTAAAAAAAAAAATAAAATAAAACGAATATAAATAACTATAATTGAACTTCCTAAAACCGCGCACAGACGGATTTTACTTAAGGTAGATTATATTAATATTATATATTATTATCATACCCGTACGCGGACGTTTCATTTTTTATCAGCACGGCGACATGGCTGATGATTTATTACCGTTTCGAGGACAAAGTTGCGAAGTCTATGTGGCTGTGGTCTAAAACCATCGAAAATATCCCATGTCGTTTTCCGAATTTTCCATCCATTGGAGTACCCGATTTCCCGTCAACATTTCCGTGATAGAATCATTTTTCCACACCTTTTTGGATAACCACAAATTCAGTCGAATCCCTTTCTACCAAAACATTAAACGACTTTTCTCTTTTTCATATTAAATTAAAAGAAATCCCTTCTTTTAGGCTACCGTTCTAATGAGAAATGGTAAACTAAAAAATTATCATTTGCTTGTCTATAGTATAAACTATTACGCTAAAGACTTTTTTTTCACATGGTATCCACAACTGGAGGTGGCATCGATGTTAGTCACTACACCCTTTTACTAGAAACTAAATAGTCTAAACCCCTACATAAAATTGTATTAAATTAAAGAAAGCTTGAAAAAAATGATATTAGTTTAGTAAATTATGATACAAAATCTATTACAAATTTTATTCTTGAAATATTTTTCGTTTGCTTATGTTATATTGCATCACTGCTTTTAATTTTAATATATGTGTTTTGATCTGAATACATCTGTACAGCTTGAATAAGTATAAACGCTAGTGTAATAGATTACACCATTTTTTTGGAAGCAGGCAAAAAGGTAAATGCAAGAGGATTGGCTGCATCCGAACTGGTTCTAAAGTGGTTACAAAGCATATATCTGAATTGGTCATAAATTATTGTAATAGAACTTTCCTTTTTTTCCCCTCATTTTATACAAACTTAGAACTGTTAAACTATGTTTTTTTAATATACCATGAGCCTCGCTCAATGTACAGCATCGTTAGTTTCGATATCGGATTTAACCAACTCGTAGTGAATCATTTTTGTTGGGTGTTCAATGAATCTCAAAAATGAACAAAAATATTTTTCAGTGTAAAATAAAATAAAAATGAATATTATGAATTTATGCGTATAATTAATAAATACACAGCGGCACCTCAAAAAGATATCCTATAACCTCCAAAATTTCTGTAATCTTTAATACTCTTGAAATACAAAAAAAAAATACTATTAAAATATAAAAACATTTTATAATTTTTTTTTTTTTTTTTACTTTTGTTTCATTTCACCCTAGCATTCATACTTCTTGAACTTTTTTTTTGAACTGCTGCTTAATTTTTGTCCGTTAAGTTTTTTAACGCCGTTTTTTTCATGGTTATGTTTTATACTTCCATCAACAATTAAACTTAAACTATTCATTTTCAAATATAACGTATATTTTCTTTATTCACGTATTTAGCGTTCAATGTCATCTGCTAACTTTTTTTGAAATCCAAATTTAAAACCTTTTAATATGACAAATTTCTTACTTTTTCACTGTACACAAATTACATATTCAAGAAATTAGTATACGAATACGTACAGTATAAGCTAGGGTCATTAATGTATAACTAAATGAAGTAACGAGTAACGACTCGGTATTGGTCAGTATCAACCGATTTTTTTACAGTTTTTATCGGTGTATCCTAAATTATCTAAATGAAAATTTCTTACTAAATATTGAATAATATTAATTTTAAATTTTACTTCGCCTTTTTCAAGTCTTTATCGTGAACCAATTTGGATGTAATTTTTAGGTATGGGAACCAATTCGGAGACTTCAAAGAGATTACACCATGTTTTGGGGGCAATTAAAAATATATGTATATCACTTGATTACAAAATATTAATAAGTAAAAAGGTTATTCGTGTAGGAATTTATATACGGCTGTTTGAATAATAATTATCAGTTCTCGCGAACTCGCGAATTATTAAAATGTAGCGTAATCATAATTAAAAATTATAAATTACTTTAGAGTAACGAGAAAATAGTTTAGTTTTTAGATTTTGAGTGGAGCGAAGAAGCTTATAGTTTTACAAAGATGTTAGAAGGTAATTTAAGAATGTCATTTTTCGATTTTCCCAAGAGTTTTTCCAGCAAATGTGAAAAACCGGAAAAAACGTAGAAAAACTGGATAAATTGATACAACATTAAACAAATATTATTGAAGAAAATATATAAAGCCAAATTAATTATTTTACTATAAAATTACATGTATATTGTTGACAACGCATCACTATCAACTGAACTCCGCTCAGAATCGTTTTTTCGTGAGCAATGGCTTATTGCTGCTTATAGATTAAATTATCTATAACAGTGGCCGCACCCGTCCCCATTATCCTAGGACGTCTTTTTTTGTTTTTGTATTGTTACGTGTAAATTATAATTTTATTTGGTGCTTTTTGAAAGTAGTGCACCCGATATCGATTAAAAACCTAGTAACGAAATGATATATTCAGCGTCTTAATTATCAATACTTACTTCATGACTGTTACTGTTATAGAAACTCACGACCATAATGTTGTTACATCGGAGAACGAGACAGAAACCTTCAAGTAACGTCCCCTGTTAATAATGCTCTCTCGCGGTAGTTAAATGATTTTGCCGACACCGCAGCGCACCCGGTGCAAATCATCAACCCGGCACGAGGAGAAAAAGACGTGTTTGATGCAGCGGTTTACAACATTTCTGTGACAATAACGTCGACCACCGTCAAAGTCACTGGGTGACATTCCGTATTTACAGTAATATTTTCCATTTACGCGATGGCTACGATTTTTCATAAACTTACATATTACAAGGATCGTTGTGGGTTGTTTACAAAATAAAAATAAAAAAAACATGTAACGTTATAAATACTTTTAAACGTAAGTACAAAAAACAAAATCGAAACATTATACAAAACCATTGGGTGGGGAAACAAGGCAAGACGTTCAACGCTGTCCGGCAGCGTGTATATATACATGTATGAAAACACATTAAAATAATATATTACCAATGTCTTTGCTACCATACGGCGGCGGTGGCAGCGCAGTTGACGTGTAACAAATATTAAACGGCCGTTGTACAACAGCGATTCCGTGGGATGGGAAATAATTAATACTATTAGACCCGTACAATACTCGGTGGCGGTGACGTTGTCCCGAATGTTAAATAAGAGGAAATAAAATAATATTATTATCGTTAAAATGATATTTCGTCAAACCGCCGCTGCTGTGGGTCGCAGTCGATATATTATATATGTATTAGGTATTATGAGTACGTATTATAAATAAGAGTTTACATTATTGTAAATTGAAAAAAAAAACTCGTTTTTAACTTTGTCGGAGAACATCGTTCACATTAGTGTAAGTTAGTGCGTAAATAGTATATTATTATTAACATCGGTTATTTTTTTTATATATATATATGTATATAAATCGATTTCAATACAATTGAACGTAGTGAATTTATTGTCGATAAATTTGTCGGTCGTGTGTCGGTATAAGTAGGTACCTACTATATAAACGAAATACGTACGCTCGTCCGCGTTTCCGTTTGCAAAAGGTCAATAATTATGGGTATTTATCGTTGTTTCTAGTTTACCTTTAGTTATTATTTTAGATTTTTAGTGGAGTAAAGAAGCTTGTGCTTTTACAAAGATGTTTATTTTTTTTGCTGTGAACAACTTTTCTTTTAGAGAACATGCTCCGATTTTTACGTGTAGCACCTTTTCTGAAAGGAAATCAGTGTGGAGAGGTACCTTAAAAAGGTCATTTTTCGATTTTCTCAATTTATTATTTCGTAGCTAAAAAAGGACATCCTCAGTGCACTGACCAGATAAAAAATATGCTACTCGACAGTTTTTATAAAGTTTTTGATTAGACAATTTTTATTAAACAAATTTCTTACAGAAATAACAAAAAACACATTATAGTAAATATATATATATATTACAATACATACAATAATACAATACAAATATTTCTCGCTTCACTCAGAATTAAAAACAACATCATAATTACTTCAAGACTAAAAAACACTACGGGAAAACGGGGGGAAAAAAACAATATCCATAACAAAATAATAGAAATAATTAAATTATAGATTATTAATTTTTTTTTTTTTTTTAAATAATTAACAATTCTAACCAAAATTTAGCTTATATTGAAATGAAAACGTTAGTGGAGAGGACGAGATTCGGAAAAGAACGAAAGACCAAAATGATAGAGCATATTAAATTTAGTGATCAATACGGGCTTCTAAACCGATATTGAGAATATTAGAAATCGAAATATCAAGTATTGGGTTTTTATTTCTAAAACTGATATTTTATGATAAACTTCAATTAATTTCTTATATCAGTTTTCGATTTTATATCTGTAACAAATATCGGATTATCGTATATTGAAAAAAAGTTATATCAGCTCATCTCTAGTTAAACTTACGTCCAACAAAGTGTCTGCGTGTACGGTTATCTAATTATATTATATTTAAATATATCTTCTTAATTTTTGAAAGACTTTTTTAAATAATTGATGTTTGAATAGAGTATTTCAAACACTTATCGAATGGTTTGGCCAAACAAAATTATTTAAAAATTAAATACAAGGTTTATTATAAGTTGTACTTATAATAAAACCGGTAAAAAAAAATATTGAGTGTTAACATAGAAGTTTTTTTTTAACAGCGTTAAGTTGAAATTTTGACGAAAATCATAAAAATTACGGGCTTTCAAACATATGTAACCGAACATCGCTTAGAATCATGTTTCGTTAACAATGATTTATAGTAGCGTACAGTTATAAATTAAATTTCCCTTTATCTACTACCTTCTCAACTTCTCACCTATAAGAGTGGCTCACCCATCGTGCGAAGTATGTCGGTCTCATTTTTTTTTTATGGTCCCGAACAATTGTCAAAATGGGCTTATGCCCTTTGGCGTATTAAAGCTCGGTATATTATAATAATATTATACTGGTATACACATTACGGATCATTTATAAGCGCATTTGAAAGTACCTGTACGACGTGTTTTAATTAAAAATAACTGTAAATAGTGTATGCACACGATCATAGCGGCCGTAACGGTATCCAAATAATTTATCTCCTTTGTGAATATAACATGAGTATATTACATACATATACGGAAATCCACACATTGCAAGTATAATATCGTGCCTACCCGTAAAGGTGCCCGATGTAAATTTATTGACTTTTCAACAGACCTACACGTTTCTATGTAGACAATATGACACCGCAATAATATAGAGAAAGAATCAACGGCTTCAATAATATCATTCAATACTAGCTGTATTATCCGGTTTTTCTCGGACTCATCTGAAAAAAAAAAACTGATAAATCTTATAATGTACAGGAAATTTAAAATCTGTATATTAAACGTCTTTCCGTTTTCATAATTATCCATACCGCAGTTATCTTTGTTGCCCGGTTATTTATCTTTTTAAAGAATACTTCTATAACAACCAAATTAACCAATAAAAACCGGCTTTTTAAAAATTTAATACTTATCATCAGGGGCAGTCAAACGAGGAGAATGAGAGGATATAACAACCTCATTACTTTTCACCCTTTTAATATTATATTACCTATATAATCCACATGAGCATTAAAAAAGGCAGAAGAACTAAGACTAAACATGTTTGAAAGAAAATTACTGAGACGAATCTATGGCCCTTTTTTTTAACCGTAGTACCGGCGAATAGAGAATACGGGACAATGAAGAGCTTCAGTTCATGTTTCAAAGACCGTGTATATCAAGGGAAGCTACAAAAAGAAAGTTAACGTGGGCCGGGCATGCCCGATAAGAAAATAACGCATTGATAAAAGCAGTTATTAAAGAGGACCCGTTAGGATAAAGACCACTAAATAGATCTCACCTTAGATGGGAAGATTGTGTGAAGAGAGACGTAAAGCAGTAGACCTAAGAGCCAACTGGAGAAAAGTACCTGAGGACAGAGAGAGATGGAAAAGAATTTTCTGTACGGTATGGTATTAAAGACCGAACCTCCTCCCTACAAAAAAAAAAAGTACTCAGGATGATTCACTAAGTGTGATTACCCAAATTTTTTGGTTAAATTTTGTATGTATAAATATATTCAAATTTTGATTTTTAGAATTTTTAACTGTAATTAAAGCCAATATTTTAGGGGCAGAGTAGTAAAGCATTAATAAAACGTGCCGTGATGCCACACAAATGATACTCCTTTACTCTTCCCCTACCTAAACTTAAAAGTGGAATATCTCGTCAAAAGACCAACGAATATTAACAATTTTAACATCAAAATTTATTATACTAATACTCCATCCAATTATATATTTTTTAATACAGAAAAGTGAGAATTCCTTTGAAAAATTAAAGTTGGTACCACCACAGGATACTCCTTAAATGTTGTGAAAAATCTAAGTATTCAAAATTATCGGCTTTAATAATTATACTTAAAAATTCCAAAAATCAAAATTTGAATATATGAAAAATTTAATTTAAAAATGAGGTGAATATGCTTAATAAATCACCCTTATTATGTATATAATAATTGCTAAAAAATATCAAAAATTAACCACATCGCTCTAACTCCAAGAAAAATCATTTAACCGCTATTACACGTCGCCAAAGTAACCTAGAAATTCAATTTTGTTCATATTTAAATAATAAAAATCAAGTATGAGCCATCCTTTGGGGTTTAAATTTGGAGATAAACATAAAAATGACCTACATTTTGCTTAGAGTACGCAAAGTTTCATCATTATTGAAATCTAACTAACTTATTATTATTATTAACTACGCAATCCATATTGAAATGTTACATCATAATCATTTTTTGGAACACGATCTTACAACATTTTCCTGAAAAATAATGTGGCCTATTTTTTTACGGTAGAATTTCTCCGCTAATCACTATTATTTTTAGTTTTGGTTAATATCTAGTAGTCAATTTCATTTTAGGGATAAAAATCAGATACTTTGTCATTTTTTTACCCTGCACGTATGGTTATGACTGGTAACTTGTGGCCATCAAAGAGACACCCTGTGTAACATTATTAACACAAGGTCCATGAAAAATTGTTCTTACAGGTCAAAAAAAAAGTCAAGCATATAGTAGTGATCAGAATATTTATTTTTTTTTATAAACGTTAAGTACTAAAATCACGAAAAAATATGAATTAGTTAAAAAGCAACACAATATTCGATTTTTTAATTTGGAAATGAAACTTAGAATCGTAATAAGTTTATCATAACATTTGTGTATTAACCAAACAGCTCCATTTTCAAACCAATTTAGAAAACAAAAATATATACATATTATATATAATTAAAACTATGTCGTTCCTTTCTTGGTAAAATTTATTTCAAATTTAATTTAGTTAAATTAGACCAGAATAAAAAAAACAATATTAAATTTCACCTACTTGATTCTATTTTTATTTTATTAATTTTAAAGATTAGAGCTATTCATAAACTGAAATTGACTGGAGTCGTTTTGTGTTTTGGACATAAATATCTAGAATTTTGTTTAATCACGTTATAATTACTTCCATACGGATGAGAAACAATCAAAACGTGAATTCCTCCGAAAATCAGAGCCGTCTGGTTGTCACGAAAAACCATTTCATTTTGATGTCATTTCATTTTGACCCGCGTTTTATTCTGCGGTATTTAAACCCGATGCTGCGGAACAAATGATAAGGGTAGGTATAATATAATATTATTCTAGTGGGCATACAAAT